CACATATTAAAAATAGCTATGATTGAATATGATATACCTGCTCTCGAATAGGGTATAGAAGTAAACACAGAGAGGGAATACAGGACTTCAAGTAATAGGTGCCACATCTGGAACTCATTTCTCTCAACCCTTTTGTTTGTCTGCATATGACTCTTAGTATTTTGGTCGTATATGGAATACACTGGAAGTAAAAATCAATAATTCTCTATTTCTTTTAGTTGGCATTTGTCAAACTGTTACTGTAAAATTCTAGGGGAAAAAAGTCTGTCATTCCCTAATACCTCTCTGATGTTTTCACTTCAGAAAGACCTTCAGTACATTTGGCTCTAATTTCTACTGTAGTTCTGTTTATGTTTATTTGTTCTCTTGCACTAATAGAAATAGAGATATTTTATAGTAATTTAGGTTTTATCTCTGTTTAAGTTCCTATCTATACAGCAGAAAATGGTCATCTCTAAAAACCAGAATATCATGTTTAAAAGTATATTTAACAATGTTTAAAGTGTTTCATACATTTGCTGTTATGGTTGTTCTAATTGTGTTAAATAGTTAACTGGTATTTTATGAACCTCACCAGAGAAATAATTTTTAAGTAAAAATATATTCTTCCATTTATGGGCAGGGTATGATTTGCTAGGATGCAAAATTGGTTCATCCATTTCCAGGGAATTTTAGGAAATCAACATAGGAATCTAAATTTGTCTGAAAATGTATACAATTGAGTAAATGGCAATATTCTTTTAAAAATATTTGAAAGAGATTAGCTCTCAAATCTTCACAAAAATGCCATTTCATATTTAAAATATATCAGATTTCTTCATTGGCAAGGTAGTTTAGCAAGCAACTTTGCCCATCATTTACAAAATTGCACTTGTTTGTTCAACATGGTAGTGATTTAGTATATATAATTATATTGCCACTGAAAATAGGCATAAAATTAAATGAGTTATTATATCTCACTGAGTGTTTTCTATTTCAATAGTTGTAGCAAGAAATACATGTTTGGAAATCAAAATAGGTTTGTGCCATTTCACAGATTTTTCTTATGGTTGATTTTTCAAGTACTTTAGAACTTTCGTTGTATTTGCAGTTCATCTAACGGTTAAATAATTTGAGAAGTGTGGGGATACTGTTGGGTAGTTCAAATGGAAATTGTGTACTGTTCAAGGTGATACTCTATTTTCTTTGCTTATCAGGTCATTAATAAATACAGTAGGTGGATTCAAACCAATAGAGACAGATATGGACACAGCATAAAAACAATCCACTGGATTTGTAATTTGAGGGGTAGAGCACTTTGAGGAGATGCCAATGCACACGAATGCCTATACTATTCTCTCTCCTTAAAGATCAAATGACTGGTTTGCTCCAAGGACAGCCATTTTCATGAAGGCCTCTTAAAGCACAAATATAACAGGGAGGAGCACCAGAATACCACATCAGCTCCCACTGGCATTTGAGTATGGATTAGCAGCTCAGATTAGCCACCTGCCAATAGATGAACTTTTTGGAAAGGGATGGAAAAAATGTGGAGAGCATCTGTATAGGCTAAAGTTCAGGCATCAGAGTTGAGGGCCCTGGGAAGCCAAGGAAATAGCCTGAAGACAAGGGCTGCTAATGATGTGTTAGCACAAGGAGGGTTTGACACCAACAGCAAACTTCCTCTGTTTCCTATTTTGATTCCAGCTGTTAAAATCATGGGACTGCCCAGACCTGGGAAATAATAAGTACCTGTTGAGTTGGTACATATCCAGAAAAATCATCTATAGATAGAATATTATTAAAAAAACCTGCCATGGCTACCATTTATTCTTACACTAGTCTATGTAGTAATTCTCCTGTCTTCATAGAACAAATAGTTGATTAAGAGGTATGTTAATGAACAGTGATCTCAAATGAAACATTTAATCTGATCAACTTTGGAAAACTAAAATGAACAGCTTAATACAAATATCAAGAGAAAGGTTGGACAAGGGAAGATTTAAAATGTAATGTCTACAATAATCAAGTCCATGTTAAATAGTTTCCTAGCTTAAATTACATATGAAATATATGTATTTAGACCTATACACATACATTCAAAAATACAAAAGCGAATTTGTTATGTTCTATTAAACTATTTTCTAATGGAACTGAATTAGTATTTCAGGGTCATACATATTTATAGGATATATTCGTCATATTTGATTTCTATGATCTTGTGCTAACCTGGATTTCATTATGTATTAAAAAGTTCCATTTATGTTTAAAGTACTGATTATGAAAAGGTCTCAGAAACCTAGCAGTTACTCACTTAAAAATCACCAGGCAAGTTCAGGTGATTACAAAAAAAAGAAGAAATGAATTCACTGTTGAAGTTCATATTCACTAAGCCTGCCAACAGGGTGTGCACTTAGATTTTCTGGGGGACACTGAATAAATGGAAAATAAAATTCCAGCTCTGATATTTAGTTTCGTGATTACTTGGTGAATCACATAAATTCTAAGTTTCCACTGCCTCATAAGCAAACTGGATATGAATCCTCCAAGGTTCGTTACGAGAATTAAACATCATGATCTAGGAAAGGCACCTAGAACAAGCTTACCTGATGTCTCCTGCATATTAATAGAGTCTGAACCTGACCCCTTTGCTTCATTAGTGTTTCTCCCCCATCTGTTTGGAGGGATAATAGGTAGGGGTCTGGAAAAAAAAACACAGAGAAACGAAAATTGTACACTACTGCATATTTTGGTTAAGAAGCCAAGAGCATTTTAGATAATTGGAAAAACAAGGTCCTTGGGTTTTAGTTTGAGGCAAGTCCTTAAGGAAATAGGACTTGAATTATCATTTCAAAAGAGGAAAGATTTATTTGTGAAGTGGTGGATTAACAACAAAGGCATGATAAACTGAATTATAATTTGTTTCACTCTCTTATTAGATCAGAAGTCCTTAATGTTTCTGGGATCCCAGAAGAAAGTATGGAGAGTCTAGTAGGTGGGGAGTGAGGAAGAGAATTATACTCACAAAAGATTACATGCAGTTTCAGAGATTTCCCTGAAGTCATTCTCCCTAGTCTTCACCCATGGAAATCATCATTGTGGATCTAGATATTAGATTCAGAACCAATAAAAACTTCTTTTGCCAAATACATTTCAGATTCCAGTACCTTGCACAACACAAGGTATCTATTAATTAGTTACTTAATGAATATTATTGATCCAAATTGAACTATTTATCCTGATAAAATAGATTTGTCATCTGTGTCCCACTTAAAGGCTGTCTTCTCAGCTGTCCCTCTGCCAACATTAACCCATCCTTACAGACAAATGTAATTCATTGCGTAGTCTGAGGACTTCCACGATACTCCCTCATCTTGGTACTGGAGCTATCGTGAGAAATCCCATGAGGTCATCTTTCTTGAATTTCATTCAAAAGAAAAATAATCAAAACCAGTCTTTAAATATATTGTGTTTGCTTTCTGGGCAACTCCAAAATTTAGTATTGTTTTGACTTCCGTGTCAGTGTAACCATTGATTTCATTTTTTGGTGTTTTTTTTTCATATTGTGGATGTTATAGGCTGAAAAGAATGCATGGATTTGAGGAAAACTCAGATTACCTAATCTGAAGGATAATGGTGCTGTAGAAAGAACCAAAAGTTTCCTGTAGAACTGAACAACCTACCCATAAAGTCTATATATCAAATTTAGGAGGCATGTGTTTTTGTTTCATATTCAGGCTTTAGAAAATGAAATCACCACAGTTCAGTGTGTTTCCTGTGAGTGACTCGCTGGCCTCAGCTGACGGCCTCGGCTTCACCTCAGTCTGTCACCCCAGGATGCTCCCTTGCCTCAGTCTTACTACTTAAATGCGCTCCTTCGTGTAGTTTTTATGGCTCTTTTGGGAGTAGTGATCTTCTTCCTGGGGAGAAGCAACTGGTCGCATTTTCATAGTTTAGAGAGGAAGTGTGCACAATAAATAGAAATATGGGGAAACTCTTGCACAGCTATCCCAGGAACCACAACTGCTGGGGCATTGTTCTTTTTCATCATCATACTAATAACACCTAAAGTCAAGATAATAAAATAAATCATATAGCTTAATTTTTGTGCATAGGTAAGAGGAAGCAGAAGGGTTGGCTTATGAAAGATTTGATGCTATAAAGACTATAACTAGTGTCTTGGATTTAGCTCAACAGAAATGGACAGTATGTACATTATGGCATTTAGATGGTATGTGATGAAAAATTCTGTACCCATAAACTCTTATGGAGGATGACTGTATAATCCTTGCCAGTATCATTAGAAAATAGGGTTTTATTTGGCTAATTTTTGGTGATTTGTTGGAAATGTGTAGTGCTACCTGAAAGCAAAGGAATGAACTCAGTGAATTCTTGTGACTGCTTATTATGATTTAATTGATTTCAATTTTAAAGGGAATTATTCAGTTACATTTTGATAAGATCAAAAGAATGGCACGGTAAGTCTGCAGCAGTGTTTAGAATTTAGTTTATGTTGAAAGAACTTTATAGTATGCTAGATCACATTGCTTCAGACAGGAATGATTGCTTAATAATGTTTTTATTTCTCCTTTTGCAAAGTCTTCTTAAGCTATATAAACAATGAGATCATTTAAAGCATTGCACACAACATGCAATATGCTCAAATGCCAGAAGAAAGTTCTGATTCATTCAGCATTTAATTTTCATAGTCCCATCCCTAGAAATGACCCAGATTTGTGTGTGCATGTGTGTGTGTGTGTGTGTGTGTGTGTGTGTGTGTGTGTGTGTACACCTAAAGTCCAGAAACAAAAGTCTTTACTCCCACTCCTGTGTTTGCATAACATATTTTAAGTTGGGTTGGCTGAATTCTATCAATTATCAGCTGCTAGCTTCAGTTTGATACATTTAACTTTCTAAAATGTTTATGTTCATTTTTCCATAGAAGGATATTTTTAACTGAGTTGAAAAAAAGTGCTGATTAAAATTTAATTATTTTTCCTCTTTGTGTTTTATTTCTTCAGATACTTTTTTCCATCTGCATTGCTTTCTGGGGAGTAAGAAGTATGAAAGAACTTGTCTCTGGCTCTTGGAAGTAATTTGCTCATACACAAATCTCTTGTTTTAATCTGTTGTCCATACAATATATTACTACTGCCTATGGAAGTATAATTATCTTATATAATGATTATATTTCTTTAGTGAAAGGTAAATATACCTATTACTCTTATCACTTTCCACATTTATTATTTTCTATTAAAATTAAATTCACTACAGTTACTTTATTACTAGAGTTGGAAGCAAATGGTTTCAAATATTATGATGTTACATCCAGTGTAGCACCTAAACCAATGAGTATGAGAAAAGGGATGGAGAAAATTTTTTAAAAGTGAAAAGAATGAATATTTCATTTGCACTGATTTTATAAGGATTTTTCCCTGCTGTTTGCTAAATTGTGCTTAGATACATATATATTTGCCATCATAAAAACATATTACATTAGTTGTTTGCCTAAGGCTATATTTACCTTTAAAAACCACATACCTAAAGGGCTACATTATAAAGAGATCACTGAAATGAAAACAAATAGAATTTGTCAGGATTAATATAATCAACAGATTAATTTGTGGTGCATATGTCAGTATGTTTGCTCAGTTTGTTTCAGCAGGTTGAGGAGCATGCATCATAGGTGTCCCCCGCTTTCCAAAAGTTCACCTTATGCCACTTTGCTCCCTTTTTCCAAAATTTCTTAGACTTAAAATTACAAGTTAAGCAATGGAAGTTATATGCACTAAAATAATTAATGCCATCCTTCATTGAGCTTTGCCTATATTCATCACAAGATTAAAGACAATGATGTTAATTAACCTCATTTAAAAAATAGGTTTTTTAGGCTTTGAATAGAGAAAACTGTGGACCTATTATGTCCGACAACAGGAGTCTATGTGGACTCCTCATACAGAATTGAAGTACATTTATTTTTCAAACTGGGAAAGCAGATGAAGATTAAATTTTACATGATGGAAAAATTAAATTATATCTCAAGCCTTAAGAAATAGGGATTTGGCTTTGCTTCAGTCATGTTTTTAAACTTCTTAATTTTAACACAGAGTTAGAGCAAATACTTAAGCAAACAACAAATATTAAACCCTACTTTTGTTCTCTTACCAACATATCATGCCAGGCTGCATATATAGAATCATGTTAAAGTAAGGAGCCCTCTCCTGGCTTGAAATTATTAAAGTTACAACATAAAAATTCTGAAAATCTATAGTCTACATATTCAAGACACTTTAGGTTTCATCCTTTAGGAATGGCAAAGAAAAGAGAAGATACATAAATCTTTAAGTAGATTTTTAGTATGTCCAAATAGTTTAATGGTTTCCCCAGGAGTCATGTGTGAATATGTATATATGTTTGCACATATGTGAATTTATAGGAGTGGCCTAAAAATGAGTTTACTGGTGAAAATAAATAATTCAAAAGTGACAATAGATATTTTACAATGAAGTACTGTTTTGTCAAATTTATCCATTATTTCCTTTTGTCTCTCAGCTGTCCTCACTATGATTATAAATGGTTTTCTTTTAGAAATGCAGACATTTTCAAGCTGCACATTTCCAGGCCTTTGGCAGCAGAAGTGATTCCCAGATAGGTAGTTTTCCCAGGGCCTGTGTGCGTTAACCAGGGCACTTTATTCTTCACCTGCAACCCTGCTAATTTTCCAGCCCAGTTTTCTTTTGCAGAGCACTAATGCATGGTGACAGATCATGTGACTATTATTAATGTTGTAAACTGATCTTGAGTGATGCCATGTAATTTATGCTTACTCTTGACTGGAAGCACTTTAGCTCTCTCTCCCTCTCATTCTCTCAAGAGAAAAAGCATTGAAAATACGACTCATCAGCTACTCATCGCTTTGTATGGAGAGATGCAAACTGACTTCACAAATAATTGTGAAGATTCTCACGTTTGCTAATCTACCATAAGGAAGGATTGAGACAGGGAAGGCACATTTGTCTGTGGTATCAGTTAACGTTATTTCACTTAATCTCCAAAATCCTAGGAATTAATGTTGGAAATACCTTTTTACAGAGGAGAATTCTGAGGCTGAGAGAGACTTAAAACGTTGCTCAGGCCTATAATGCATAATTGGTGGGCAAAAAACAATTAAACCTCTGAAGTCTGATGTCAAAGTCCATGATGTTTCTCCATTCCATGATATCGGAATAGGCTTGGGAGTTTTAGTTCAGAATATTTCCTATTTAGTTTGATGTTCCAAGATCCAAAATAAAATTCAAAGTAAGAAGAGTTTTGATATAAGATAGATTTGTTAAATGAGTATTTGAACAATATAAGATAGATTTGTTGAATGAGTATAGAACATCTAACCCTCCTAAGAATGAGAAGGCCATAGACTTATTTATAGGATAACCATTGTCTAAAAGAAGCCTGTTCCTGTACTTGATTGGATTTGATAGAATTTCCATTGCTTTACTTCTATTTGTTGTATCATTCATCTTACTGTTTCTAAGTAATTCTGTTAATCTAATTATCTCATGGCCATGATATTCAGCAGTACATGATGTGTAATTGCATATTTGAAATTCAGTTAATCACCATAGTATTGAAAACCTTGTTATATTTAACATTACCAGCTTGTATTGTTTATTAGGGATTCTCAAATTCCACTTTATGGTAATATTGTATAATGCAGTCAGTGTACAATCTGCAAGAGAATAATTGAGTGGAGTTGGAAGGCATAATATATATTATGGTATACAGTATTGTGATTTATTTTGGAGAGCAACAGTAGTTAGAAAATGAGCTCCCTATTTTATGCCCCTCCTGTATTTTTTCATACTTGTACTTGAAAACACAGAGAATCTTAAAATAATTCAGAATCTTAAAACATTTTTGATTATATGGTTTTCAGCAGCACTATAGAAGCAAGCTGGGCTTTATCATGAGCTGCCTGCCTCAGTGAAAGTAAATTTAATAGACAGTGTTATATCTATCATTAGAATATTTTTTCAAGTCTCCAGTCTGCCACCCTTTTTTCCTCAATAGTGTAACAAATTAAACTCCTCTCTCCTCAAAGACTCAATTTTAAAAAGTTAGCAAACGAGGCAGGTCAGCAACTATTGGTTTTCTCTTGTGGACTGTGTATTCTTTTTGGAATTCCACAACTCTTAACACCTCTTTAGTCAGAATTTCCAGCCTTTCCTGAAACCCCAGGATCCACCAATTGTAAATTCATTCCTTGGGTGTGTTCACCCTTTGTTTCAGCAACAATCAATCCAAAATTCTAACTTGCATAGGTTTACATACAGAAAAGAGAAAAATGCATCCTTTGCCTTTATGCATCAGGATTATCTATGAATATTTTTTTAAGAATGCAGATTCCTGGTAGAAGCATTGGAATTTTGATTTAGCAAGCCATGCCAGAGAATCTGCATTCTTCAAAGTTCTGCCAGTGATAAGATAGATGCCATACCCAATCTAGAATGAAATAAAACTTCTCTAGACCTTCCCCTCATGTTTTAGAAATATGCAGGAAAGATGCACAATATAAGGGAAAACTTTTTCTATAGCAAAGAATTTAATTAGAGGAAATGGGTATAACTGATTAAGTATGGCTACTGAGATATGCCACCCAATGAAAAGTATCAGGTTAACATGAGATTCTTTAATGTATATTTAGAGACCTGAAAAAAAGACTGGCAGTTTAAAAGCTAGGTAAGCATCAGTGAGAATAGGGACTAGAGGGAGGTCTAGCAGGCAAAGGAGATGTGACCAAAAAATAGTGTTGCCATAGGTCCTGTTTATATTTACTTCTAATATTTCAGGTTTCATAAAGTGTTATTCATAGCAGTATTAAAATACACTGAGTAAGGTTTGGCAGACATCTATTTTGTACTTTCAGCTTTTCTCAGGGACTCTCTTAGTAATGTGAGAGATGCACGTGTAGTCAAGAAAATTCCCGATTTAGCACAAAGTTCAGTGACAGATATCCATCATATTCCTGCTCTGCCCTATCCGGACAAAATATAGCTAACATCTCACCTTCAAAACAGTACACAGCATGCATCTCACTTTGCTGATAAAATGACGTGTGCCAAGACAATCATTGTTTTAAGGATGGCTGATTCCTTCTAGGCAAGAGATATTGGGAAGCCATGTAACAATGGCACCTGGCAGCCATGTGGCATACTAAGAAGGCTTACTTTGGCCTAAGAGGTTGTCTGCAAGAACAAAATCATCAGTTGCTAATTTACATCAATAAGTCAAAAAATTAATAAATGTATATTCAGTGACTAGTTACTGATATTTTTCCAAGAAAATTCATGCTAAATATATAACTTGCATAAAATGTTTATCAACCTATGCTATTCACAGGGTTGTCGGGGGGAGGTGCTTAGTGAGATCACTGATTATATGAAAACTGGAAGAAATAAATGTGCTGAAGAAGTAGCACCAACTATTTCAAAAGATGGTGCTCATTTAAAGAAGACTGCAAAGTGATCTTGGGACACATGCAGCTGTAGAACATGTACACATTTTCTGAAACTTGACTTTATCAAGATTAAAAGAATGTAATAAGTTAACTTCACTAGTTTATTACAAGTTTTTTTGTGCAGAAACAGAAAGTGAAGTAATAGCTGCTAAAGGGTTTGCTCTATTAGCTGAACAACTAACTATTCAGTCAGTTAAATGATACCAGTTTCATTTCATTATCAGCTGATGCTCCAAGTGAGAATCAGCCAATCCCAAGAATAAGCCAATATTTTCATCCAATTCATGAAATCAAAGCAATTTTTAGTAGCCCATCCTGCCAAGTATGAAACATATCACTGTGTCAATTAGATGTTTAATAGTGAAGAAAAAATTATTCTTGTTTTGTGGTGATATTATGAATACAAACTTTGGTGGAATACTGTGTAGTGTGATAAAAGTAGTATTCTCTCTAAAATGAGAAGCTGATGGCAGAGAACCTGCTTGAAATTGTTAGACATATAATTAATAATAGTATTTAAAATATAGTATTAGAATTGAAAAAATTTTATATACAGAGTTTTTATAAATTATCGAGAAAGTTGTTTGTTGTGAAGATAGGGTTCAGTACAAAAAGCTATGCCTACATGACAGTATGTCTTGCTACCAGATGTCAAACAGATTTTAGAAATGTGTGAGCCTTTGAATAAAAATTTTTGTAAACCAACCTGAACCGTTCAATAGTATGGCAGTGTTTGGTAGAGTCTGCTAAACTTGGCTGCATTTCATTCAAGACTATGGGAAATCCTTAGGCAAATAACAGTGAAGAGAATGGCAAAACTTTAGCCATTGATGCTGTTAGCAAATCTCACTTATTGAAAACATCTTGCAAATAGGAAGGTATTGACATTTATTCCTATGAAAGTGGGAAGAACTGAACAAATTAAATTTTAAGAATTCAAACCTTACATGTCATTTAACTTTGATACTCTAATTAAGCTCAAGAGTATATTTGTGGGCATTTAGTTAAAAAATGTGGGCATTTAGTTAAAAAGCTATCGATGAGCTCTTGTTTTTAAGTGGCTAAATTTACATTATATACCAAAGAGGAACAAAATTGAAAGAACCTACAATTTAATGGCATATAACTTTGATGAAACAATAAAAAGAATAATAAAGACAAATTACTTAGTGAATTTTGTTTTGTAAAAAATGTTTCAGATAAGCTATTTCAAATGGAAGCAGATACAAGCTTTATTACAGTTACCAAATTTGAATATTTACATTTTTTCAGTAAGAAAAAATTAAAACAGAAAATATCCATTTGCTGTATTTTTTGAGTTTACTAGATATCTACTAGAGAGTATATTTTCACAATTAAAATGTTATATAGACAATAGTCAATTGCAAGTCTCAGAACTTTTGAATATATTTACCATTACATGAAACTAAGTATGCAGGTAATTTTATGGGAAAGTTCAAAATAATAAGACTATATTGGGGAAGAAAATCTTTAAAAAAGTACCAGGGATAGGCTACTAGACATAGAAGTGGTTAAGAAACTGATTAAAGTAGTTAATGTATATCAAGAATAATTATTCTGTTTATGTTGTTAATATTCTAGAATCTAGATAATCAGTATGGAAGTTTTTTTCTTTTAATTTAATT